ATCTCCATTGTTTTGAACTCAGCAGTCAAGTCTTCTTCTTTCTTCTGTAATCAAACACATAAAAGAGAGAGGTTTCTAGTTAGAATAACATACATAGAGTGAGAAGTAAGACGATTTCAAGATATACAGAGGAGAAACTCAGGACCTTTAACACCGGATTAAACCTCAGCTTCTTCTGTACCATAACCCTCTCTCTGTTTTCATAAAAATCGAAATCATCTAATATAGATGTTTTTGCTGCATAATTCTTGAAGATGTTCAACACTTCATTCCCTTGTGGCAACCTCACCTATAACATGAAACAACGTAAATGATGTAGTACTTCTTGACAATGATTCATTTTCTTGAGCCACTAAAAGACTATCTTACCTCTTGTGTGTCTCTGCTATTTGTTACAGGCTTGTTCTCATTGTTCTCTAGTATCACATGCCTTAGTTGCGGATTTGGAACATCTTTGATTATATGCCACTTAACAGGAAAATAGCCAGTCCACTTATCTTGCTGCCAAAACTCCATACTCTTCTCATAATCCACTCTCCCAGTCATCTCAGCTACACCACAAAACTGTCCACTTGCATTCACCTGAGTCCAATAAAACACATCAGAGACCACAAAGAGGTGTTCACAACCAATAAATACCAAAATCATATACTGCATTACCGAGAAGAAAAGGAAGACCGGACACGTTCCACCTTTCTCAGCGACCTTCTTTTGAGATTCTTGATACGCACTGTCTAGCTTCTTATTCCCATTGAGAGTACTAGACCAAACATTGTACTTGATGCTCTTGTGAATGTCGTCTTCGCTATAAGATTTGATCACAAAGAACATTGCTTCTTCATACTTGGTCTGAAAGCTAGGGAGGTTATATTGATCTCTTTTGATCACATAACCTACACCGTTGCTTCTTCCCTTCCCTTCATCATCCAACAAACATGACTCACATTCTCCATCATCTTGCACATTTTCACTCATGTTATTACCATTTTCTTTGTTTCTTGCTTTCAACTTCTCTGTTTCACCTCCATCTAAAGCTCCATACTTCTTCCTTAACGGGTCCTTTGGATATGAAACTCCACTTCTTTCTTGATTATGCAGTGGGAGTGGAGCATAGCTGCTCTGTAATTCATATAACATCAATCAAAATCTTCTCAATATATGTGAAAGAGAGAAAAGGAAGTTGTTAGTTACCTTTCTCTGTGTTTTTGGCCGATCTCCCATGCCATGACCAGTGAAAGAAGTCTTGCTCTTTGAGTAATAGTTGCTATAGTTATGACTTGAAGAAGAAGACATGTTCTGTTTTAAAGGTTGGTTGTTTGAAGCAACACCATACACATACTTGTCTCCAACAGGGTCCCATAAATAGGTAGGTGATGAAACATCTCCATAACCATATTGGTTCTGGTAATACCCTTGTGGTGCATACATGGGTGATTGAAGAGCCTGGCTCGATACACCGACCGGGCTTATAGGCATATAAGTTGGACTAACATCATAAGATTGAAACCCTGGCATCATGTAGATCAAAGATCCATTTTCCCCTTGCATAACCTTCAAATCAAGATCAAGAATAAGATCAATTAAATAAGCTTGAATTAATGAGTAATTAGTTTTTTTTATTTACAAAGAAGATTTGATTTACCGGGTACTGAACATCTGTGCCATAACCATAGTATCCATTATCCTTTGCTTCACCAAGTGAACCATCAAGACTTGGATAGTAGAATCCATAGTAGCCACCATAAGGACAAGGCAGGCCTTGATATGTCTCAAGAGTTTCATAATATGGCTCTGAATGGCTCTTCTAAATAAACCAAAACAACAAGAACAATTATGTTAATAATATATCGAAAAGAAAAACGTTAGCATCTTGAATTCTTGATTATACAAAAAGAAGATAAAAGTGGTTTTACCATGGAAGTGGTAGAGGCAGAGACCTTAGCAAGAGAATCAACTTTAAGGTTCTTCACCATATCTTTAGTGGCTGAAACATATAAACAAACGTTCTATCAGATAAAGAATAGACACAAACATAAGTAATCCTTAATTTCTTATCGGTGTTAGAAGACAGGTTTGAAACGTTGTCTGAATATTTAGTCGTACCGATAAAAAAAAACTTTTCTTTTGGAAGATAAGACTGTTTAGTTTCATAACAGAGAAAAACAGAGCATTAAACCCATATTACACGTATGTATATTATACACAAAGAACTCAGATAAAAAGTCAAGCGCAAAAGTTAAAAGACTCATAAGAACAACATGGACCACACGTGTGTGTATGCGTGAGAAAGAAAGAAAGACAGTACGTTCACGATGGTGTTTGGGAACATGAGAAGTCATCGATGAAGAAGTTGGTAGAGGAAACTAGATGATGATGATGAGATTCAAGAAAACTGGTCAAAGAAAAAAAAAAGAAGGTAAAATAAAAAAAATTGAAACAAAGAAAACAGAAAATACAAAACACAGATGAAAAAGGAACCAAGACAGGATTATCTGTATTACAGAGGTTTATTTACTAACTAATAAAAGAAAAGTCTAACCATCATGATGAAGAAGACATCATCATAAGATTGTCAACTTTACCTGAACACAAAGTACAGATACGGAACAGAGGAAAAACAGAGAGATGATGAGATATAGAGAGAGAACAAGAAAGGTAATGGCTGGTGAAGAAGAAATAATGAACAGTTTTTTTTTTGTTTCTATTTGTTCCCCTTCTTAATTATTTTAGATGGAAAATATAGAAAATGAGATTTTTTTTAGAATAATAGAGGTTGAGGAGATGTACAGATGGAGAGTAAAGAAGATTCCACGTCATGGATTCGTGAGATGAATTAATGGTAACCGTTGGATTAGGTTACGGAGGAAATTAACACATCTTTTCTTGCCAACTTTTCCATCTGGAATCTATTCTTATACAACTCTCTTCATAGTGCTTCTTTTAAAAGGTTATATTAAAAAAAAAGAATCTTAATTTGGCATTAGTCAGCTAACACAATTAATTCTATTGTTTTCTATATGAATATATATTATGTTGAAAAATATGAAAGCTAGGACCAGTTCTCATGGTCGAACAAATAATAAAAAAGAGCATAGAATATGGTTGTGAAAAAGAAAAAAATAGAAGAATATAATATTAGATAGTTGAAAACCATGTATCCTTACATCTGAGCAATACCACAAATAAGAAAAAGTGGAAAAAACCACAAAAATGCATTATTTTCCATTAAAAACGATATATAGTTATATTGATGAGTTTTAGCAATTTTAGTAAAAAAATTTCTAAACCATGCCTATAATATTTTAACAGTTTAATGTAAAGAAGTTTTAATATACACTACAGTTGTTCTTGGATGACAAGCGATGAACAATTCATATCCACTACAGTTGTTATGGTTTGGATTTTTTCCTTTAAAATGTTATTTAAGAGTGTAGTTTGAGATCTCTTGCTCTTGATGTGGTTCCATTATTGCAAATCTGAGATTTCTTTTAAAAAATTTGTATCATTAGGTGTCAACTGGCCCATTCGTACATATATATATAATTGTATTCATTCAATATTTATACTTTTTCCATCAAAAAACAGATCCAACTCATAATTATCATTTAAAATTGGTGGATAACACATCTATTATAAGTTCAACTATCTTACAACTGCAAGAATGAACACTTAATACATCCAATTTCCCTTATAAGATTGCGATTAATAATTAAACTCTGCCCTCACCTTACATGCCTTTTTAGCAAAAATAAAATGTGTGCCTCACTTTCTCCAGTAGTATTATATCCCACGTAGACATTGCTTCGAGATCAAGTATATTTGTCAACATCTCACAAAAAGAAAATCATATGAAACTATTTAATACAAAAAAAAAAAATCCAAAATTTATATGGTGCAGAAGAGAATTACAAGGTTCCACGTTTTGCCTTCGTCATGGCCTAAACGTGTCTGCTTCACGTCTATATGATTTATTCTTTTGTTTAGTTTAGTTTTTATTTTTGAAACTATGTTTAGTTTTTCCTTGCCTCTTTGAATTATTTTTATGTATTTATATGTTGCTATATGTGATTACGTACGTATATAACAAGTTTATAAGATTGCACAAAAGAAAGAGCCCTTTTTGTAGTCTACAAGTATTTAACCCCTGAATAAATATCTAGGCGATGAACTAATCTTACTTGACTTCATCAATTTATATTTATATTAAGCTTGTTGTTATTGTTTAGTAAGTTATGAACTGGAGACTAAGTAATCATCATTCTTTACTCTTGAGAACCAAAAGGTAAACGAGTGTACTAGTGTTAGGCTTTATACTTGGGCTATGAAATGGTCTGAAATCACTTTCGACCTTTAGAGGGCTCTAATGAGTAATGGGGATGTCACAAAAGAGTAGTTTCAAAAATTTCTTAACCAGTTGGATTGTACAGAATCATCATAATTCGTTTGTTCATGAGAATTGTAGGGTCCTTTTGGCTCTTGCTTAAAAGACACGTGACCAACAAGACAGCTTGATATAAGGTCAAAGTAAGACGAAGGTGGAATCAAAGTTGATAAGCACGCCAAGACAAGGTCACTGATGCTGCTGGTCTAGGAGGGTCTGTCTTTGGCACTGGCTAGTTTTGCTTAAGAATCAAGAATCAAACAATGAAGTACTATCTGAAAAATCCTGGTATCAGAATTAACTAACCTCTACATGTTGTGAGAGGGACATGAAAGTTGATAGTTTCAGAAAAAAATCATGGAAGGGAGAAAATGTGTAACGACCACGGTGGGACTCGAACCCACAATCTCCCGCTCCGGAGGCGAGCGCCTTATCCATTAGGCCACGCGGTCATCTTATTCAACTTTTTATCTTTTCTTGTGTATAAAAGAACATATAGTCTCTGTCTTGCCACTCCAATAGTGACACCAGAGTCTCAACAACAACAATCTGCTAAGAACAACCTTGTGAAACAACTCTTGTCCATGGCACCTAATATTCATTTTTGAAACGTATGCCTTCGTTTCTTGTCTATCATTTATCTACTAAGAAAAAACCTGTTCATAATTGTTTCATGAATCATTTACCATTAACAATTTTCTGTTTGTTGATTTTATTCCAAAGAAATCAAAGCATAAACCTTTTGTCCACCCGAAAGAAAAAATATAGACAGAGTCCTCTTTTACTCAAGGCAGATTTCAATCCTCAAGTTTGTGGCTTGTAATCTCGTTGCTAGCCTTTTTCCCTTAAAAGACTTTTCATGAAGAAGATTCCTCCCCTTCCATAGGCAAGTCTGGTTGTGTTGCCCATTCAATCCACGAGCCATCGTAGACTGGCACATCAGTTTTCCCCACTCGGTGAAGCCCCTAACATAGAAAGCAACCAAAGTCAGATTCAGACTCTCTTCTGCACCAACTTTTTTTTTATATATACATAATCTCAAACAAAAAGGAATGGATGAAGATGGCTAATTACCATTGCTAGGATGCAAGCTGTTACCCCAGTGCCACATGATGCCATAATAGGCTTGTCCAATGAGATGTCTGTAACAAAAAAAGCATTCAAATCTTAAAGACTTCTTTAAAGAAAATAAGTCTGAAACTCATTCTTTCAAGTGGATGAAAATCTTAAGACTGCTTTAAATTGTGAAACTCATTCTTTTAAGTGAAACTCATATACTACCTTCTTGTTCAAATCGTTTCTTCAGGTCTTCTGCTGGTAACATTGTTTGAGAAGCAGAATCAAACAACTACAGAAAGAGTAAGTTTACCACATTAACTCCGAGGATAAGATACACCGTAGGAAGTGAGGGAAGGGAACAAGTTCTCTAGAATTTACAGTTTACCTGAGGATAAGGGACACACTTGCTTCCAGGGATATGACCACTTCTTATTCCCTTACGGGGTTCTGGTGCTGTACCGTCAAACCTGTTGCCAAAAAGCGTGAATCTACTATATCAAACGGTACATGAACTCTAGGGAAAGAACGTCATCAGTGGAAAACAAGTAATAATTTTACAAATCATAGTACCTGGCTTTGGAACGTGCGTCTACGTGCTGATATGTTTGATCCTCCATATTGTTCTTGACCTGTAAATTGACCAAAACCAAGTATTACAGATGCTAAATTAAAGCAGAAAATGATATAGACACAAGTTAAGAACTTGAAGCTGGGTCATCTTTAAGACTTTTATGAAAGATTTGAATTCGTGGTTCAACAGACAGAATGATCCTAGAAAAAATTGAACAAAATAACGTCAAGACAAAGATAAAACCGTTCAGAAAATGCCAACCTGATCAAGTGTCCACACTAGATGTGGCTGGAACTTGGTCTGAAAGGTTATTGGACTCACCTGAGGGGAAAAAGAAGTATCTTCACTACTACAATCTCACTATGAATACAAAGAAAGACAACATAGTAAACAGTTTCCCTGACTACTTACGGAATGTCCTTGATAGATTTTCTCTATAGCCTCACTTGCAGCACTAGCTTTCAAAATAGCATCACCTGATGCACTAGATTCAACATCATAACCTGAAGCACGCCATCTCGGTAGACCTCCATCGAGTACCCACACTTTGTTATGTCCAAAAACTCTGAACATCCTGTTTAGAGTACAACAAAGGAGCACCCATCTATTAGTAGATTACCTGAGAAGAGACGCAGAACAAACCAAAAGAATTTAAAAGACAAACTGGATCCATAACTCACCACCATACACGGGCTGCACTAAAGACACCCTTTGCATCATAAACAACCACTCCGTCCTTGTTCTCAATTCCAAGAGCAGAGCAACCAGCAGCAAAAGCTTCCTCAGACGGCAACATATGTGGCAACTGTTACATGAAAATGATATACAATTAAAGCGCACACACAAACTCACAAGCAATAGTTATAACAAAAATAAGACTAATATCCCACAAAATGGAAATTTACGATAACATGATGTTAAAAGCAAAGAGCCGAGATTTTGATATCACATCTAATATGTTAAGTCGAGAACATAGTGACTCTTACACTTGTTGATCGATCTGATATTCCATCCAAATCAAAGAAGAGAGCACCTGGAATATGAGCAACCTGTCGGCCAGAGAAGAAAGTCCATTATGATCAATATCTTTATAAAAAGATCAAACAATAGTGGAATCAAGAGCATATCATATACTCCCTCATTTTGAGTTTTTGCACACAGATTAAGAAAACATTTAATTTTACATATTCTCTAGATAATAACACGTTTACCTATGCACCTAACCACATTTCAATCAAAGAAAAAATCATATAAAATTAATAAACTTTGCATTGAAATTATAAAACAACACTTATTATTGGAACACACTTATTCTTGGAACCACATATAAATTGAAACGGAGGGAATAATCAATTAACTCAAATGCTCACCTGATATTCTTGGATAGGATTCCTCTGCTCATCTGGCATGTACCATGACGCATCCAAAACCTGAGCACACAACAAAAACAACCAAAGTTTTAATATAACAGACAAAGTTTTGAAGAAAAAAAAAAGGGGCAGTCACCTTCAAATCAGGCTCTCTGAGATTAGAATGAAGCCAATCAACAGAAACAACAGGCTCATTAGCTGCTACAGACGAAGTAGAGTAACCAGCTCTTGCCCCAATTCCACTATAACCCATCATACCTCGAGCTGATTTATAAGCTGTAGACGAAAATCCCAACTGACAATAAAACCCTGTCCTCTGCAATCATCAAATCACAACAAAAGAAAAAAGAGTCAAACTTTACAAACATAAAACGAAAATTGAGAAACTTTCATTCCCTAATTTTTCGGATACAAAAGACACAGATCTCATCAAACAAAGTGTAAACCTTTATGAAAGCGATTGAGAATTGAGGATTTGGATTAGGACTACTTACAGTGAGAAAGGAGGAGAGATTAAGGGTCTTTTGAGGGAGAAGAGAAGGAGTGATCAAGCGGTGGGTTGCAGCCAAGAAAGTTCTGGAGATAAGTGTTGAAGCCATGTCACCGTTACAATGCACAACTAAAAAAAAGACTCCAACTTTATTGATTCTCTTCAGGTAAGAAGAGAACCCAACAAGTTTTTTTACTACTGCTTCTGCCGCCACGAACCTGTCTGGAACAGAGGACACGACTAGGGTAGTTTTGTAATTGTTGAGCCCAAATAGTATTTGGGGTGGAAGTCAAAATAGATATAAATATTGGACCGTTTTGTAAATTATTGTAAACGGCGTCGTTTCTTTTAACTTTTTTCTTTCTCCTTTCTTCAAGAAACCTAGAGCTTTTTATTTCTCACTCTTCGTTTGTTCCTTTCTGTTGTGTTAGATCCGTAAATCAAAGGTATGAGATTTATATGGTTTTGAGATTGAAAGTTGTCTCCTTTCTTAAACCCAATTTGAGAATTGGAATCTATCTTTGTTGGGTTTAAGTCTTGTTAAGATTCAATCGCTTCTGTGTATTGGTTTCGTTTGACTAAGTTGTTATACTAATTGGGTTTATGTCGATGAACATCAGTGTTTAGATCGTTGGATGTTTTGTGGGTCTAAGTTTAGCAGATTCAACACTTCCCATGGTTCCAAGTTTTGATTTTTATTTGTTAGAAGATTGATACGATTTTGCGTTTTTGCAGGTTTTTTGAGGTAGCTTTAAGGTGCAATGGGAGATAGTCAGTACTCGTTTTCTCTCACTACGTTCAGGTATGGAACTTGTTTTTCATTCAAACGCATCTCTTTTGAAAAGCTAATTAGGATCTGTTTTATTCTTGGAGTGTTAATGTTGTGTTGTGGTTGTGAAAACAGCCCATCAGGGAAGCTGGTTCAGATAGAGCATGCTCTAACAGCTGTTGGATCAGGCCAAACTTCTTTGGGAATCAAAGGTTTGTGTTGTCAATGATGACCTTGATGATTTTCTAAACAAGAGATTCTAAGGAACATTTTTCTTTCATGCAGCTTCAAACGGAGTTGTCATTGCAACGGAAAAGAAACTTCCTTCTATTCTGGTTGATGAAGCTTCTGTAAGTTTGATATCCTCTTCTTGTGTGTGCTCAAGATGTTTCTTTCATTTAAAAAAAAAAAGAAGCAATTTGGTCATTTTCCTTCTACCTCTGTTTGTGGAACTTTAGTAGGTTGTAACTAATATTTAACCTAATGTCTACTTCAGGTTCAAAAGATTCAGCATCTGACTCCCAACATTGGAGTTGTCTACAGGTTCTTCTTCTCTTCCTAAGCTATCTGTAGCTCTTGTTTAATAATAGATTTGGTTTCATAGCTTGAGTTGAAAACTATGTTTGGTTACTTAGTATCTCTCATAGTTCGTGACCTCATCTTTTTAATTCTGACTTTGATATTTCCTTCTATGAAGTGGTATGGGTCCTGATTTCCGAGTTCTTGTGCGAAAGAGTAGGAAGCAGGCTGAGCAATACAACCGATTGTACAAAGTAATCTTTAAACATCTTTATTCTTAACTACTTTTTCTTGGAGTATAATAATGCATGTACGATAAATCTTCAATCCTTGTTGGTTCTCAGATACTTTGGATTGATGTAAACTGTCGTTTAGTTTATTCCTAACTTTCAACTTCTAATGATGTTTTTATTGTTACAGGAACCCATCCCTGTTACTCAACTTGTAAGGGAAACTGCAACGGTGATGCAAGAGTTTACTCAATCAGGGTAAGTACATTTCAAAATCTATATTGTTACTTCCTCCCATACGCGCAACAAGAGTAATATATTAGATTCACCTTTCGATTTCCTGCTCTTAATAGTGGTGTTAGGCCGTTTGGAGTTTCTCTACTAGTGGCTGGGTATGATGACAAAGGTCCACAGCTCTATCAGGTATATATAACACATTAAAGATGTTTATAAACCATTAGTGCCTTATGTTAAAAAATCATCTTATTTCAGAATTTTATTTTTTTCACTAGGTGGATCCTTCTGGTTCTTATTTCTCATGGAAAGCTTCTGCCATGGGAAAGAATGTTTCGAACGCTAAGACGTTTCTTGAGAAGAGGTGATTAACATTTTTAACTGTTTGTGATATATAAGTATATGATCTTGGAAGCATGTCATTTGACATCTTAGTCTCTTTTATCAGGTACACAGAAGATATGGAACTTGATGATGCCATTCACACTGCGATATTAACATTGAAGGAAGGGTGCGAGTTACTTACCCAAATCCTTTTTTAAGAGTTTTGACAGAACCTAACATCTTTTTTTTTCCTCGTCTGTTTCACAGTTTCGAGGGAGAAATCTCGAGCAAAAACATTGAGATTGGCAAGATTGGTGCTGACAAAATTTTCAGGTAATGTTTCAAGATTCCAAACTAATAATAACAATGAAACTTTGGTCTTGCCATCAATATCTGAAGAGGCTATTATGTGCAGGGTACTAACACCTGCAGAAATCGACGATTACTTGGCTGAAGTAGAGTAAACTTTCACTTGACCATGCAGCTAAACCGGATTTGAATTCCTAATGCTATCTTTTGTTTTCTTTTCCTGGCTTGTTGCACAAACTTGTTGGTCGTTGCTTATGTTAAACTCTTGGAACTTGTTAAGACTCTAGACCCAATTTAGAATCTGTTTTCTTTTCCATCCATTATGATCAAAATGTCTCGCATGTGAAAATCAACATATCAAAAGTCATGCACACAAATTACTTGAAGGTTTTGTCACATCTTGATAGTTGTTATATAGATTAGCTTCTTTATTCTGTAATGATATGGTACACGTTGAGAGCAGTGATGTAATAGGGACAAGGACGTACGTTACTCGAGTCGTTGAAAATGCACAAGTATTTACTTGTTATCCAGCAAAACTAGCTGGTGGATGCATGGTTGTTTGTTACATGATGGAGATTATCAAGCTAACCCAATATTCTTCAACAAATAACTTTGAATAAAACATTTTTTTCAAGATTCCCTTGAATGGAGAAAGAATCTTGAAGATGGTTTAATCTCAGCGCTCTAGTATAATATATAGTTTACCAGCTAGCTATATGTATCATCTATACAGTTGAAAACGCCAAAGAAATTAATTATGGAATACGTTTTCTTTATTCTCTAAATTTTCTTTAAATATTGATAACCTGAATTAGAATATGCTTTTAAACCATATAGTAAATCATAAATTGGATTTGTTAATGTATCATCATGAGCCTGTAGGGTTCATTTTCAAGGTGGTTGAACCACTTCTTGACTTCATCCTCATCAGACTCTTCTTCTGCTCTGAACTCATTTGCACCAGATTGGTGAACTGAGTTTGAACTATCTACGGAACTCCATATGTCAGGATCTGAGTCAAAAGGGATCTCTAGTAGATCTGGTTTGTCAACCTCTTGAATAATGTCACTAAGCAGGAGGCCTATACTCGGATCATTTTCCTGTTTTGAACCAGAAGACACTGAAGTAGTAGAGTCCTGAGAGGTCTTTATGTTCAAACAATCTTCTGCTTGAGACTTTTCGTCTTTCTCAAAAGAGACAGAATCACTTGAACATGGTGAGGTTTTTGAGCTCTGAACAAGTCTTTTCTTTAGATGGGTATGCCACACATTCTTGATCTCGTTATCTGTTCTTCCTGGAAGTTTAGAAGCGATTTTCGACCACCTTATCAAGAATGCACAAAGCATATATTAATATTATATCATTTTTTTGTGATCCATATATACAGAGATTTACTTGTTTCCATAGTTCTGGTGAAGCTTGATGATTGTTTCTTCCTCCTCTGGAGTGAAGTTACCTCGCTTCACATCTGGTCTAAGGTAGTTGATCCACCTTAGACGACAACTCTTCCCACACCTCAACAGACCTTCATATTGTATATGCATACATTCAGAATCATACAAGAAAGAAAGCCATTAAAGAGGCTTTGCTTTTTATAATGATCACAAAAAGCAACAACATACCAGATTTTTTAGGGAGAGATCTCCAGTTCTCATGACCAAACTTTTGAATGAAAGTGATGAGTTTCAAGTCTTCTTCTGTGCTCCATTGACCTCTCTTCACTTTGGTCTTGTCACAACAAGGTGCTCTTCCCTTCCCCATCCTCTCTCCCTCTCTTCTTCTTCTATGTGTATATATATTATATACAATCAATTTTGAGTTTTACTTTTGCCAAATAGAATTGGTTCTGTTGTTTATATAATTGAGAGGCAAACGTGTGATCTTGGCCTGAGAAAGATAAATATAAACAAATGGTTTTTGATAAATGTCAAATCAGATTTGTTGAGTGGGAAAAGGTTGCCTGTGATATATGGTTCATTATTTGGTAAGATTCCATTTTCTCATTTTTTTTACTTAATTTGGCATCTACATGATGCATGCAACTTATCTTTTCTTTTAATAGCTATGCATATATTCACATATGTGTTAGAAGTAAATAAATAGTAAGTTCAAAAAATTAAATAAATAGTTATTTTATTCTTTAACTGTTAAAATTAGTTTCCCAAATAAAATTTATAAGATTCGAAATTTTATTCAAAATGTATTAGGGAATCTAATGTAAAACCAGGTATAGACAAGTGTTCATTTTAATATCTTATTTTGTTTATAAATCTAGAAAAAAGAGTATGAGTATTTTTAATTGTAGTAATGGAATTAATCACATGTATACACTGTAAAATAATAATAGTTATAAAGTGACAAAATTATATATTAGTTTTTTTATTTGGTAGTGTATTTGTCTAAGTATGCAATGATATTTGATAATATTGTTTTTTTGTCAGCTAATCTTGTCTAATTCACTCACATAAGTAACGTGGCTCCATGCAACATTACCAACTTTTGAATATAGATATATTCTACCATAATCATGTAGTTCCAAGACAAGGATTAAGAAATATCTCTCATGAACAATGCTGTCTAAATTTTAATTATGCATCCATCATGCCATGGAATTAATATAATTATATTTTTGTCAGGACTATCGATTTCTTATACAAAAACAAATACGCTGCAAAGAAAAATGTAAAAGCTATATTAAATCTGAGAGCTAAAGTTAGTTCAAATAACATCCGAAAGTACCATAAATCGATGTAGTATGTGTGAGCAAAGTGCACGATCTCACCAAACTAAGGACTAAAGAGAATGGAAACGGTCAGAAACATACGTAGTTTTCGACTTCTTTGATGTTTGGTGTTGTTGTTAGCAATATCACCAAACCTTAATTATATCACCAAACCTTCATTACTTAATAATAAATATATATGTAACCATCCAAAAATGTTTCTTCAGTAGTTCAAGTATATACTTATTCACTACTATATATCAATATATGCACTCCAAAAACAATTAATGTATGGAGTATTAAGTATCACCCGTAATTGAAGTTACCTCGACGTAACAATTCTAACAGTTCTTCCAAGTAATTGCGCTTTGTGATATCCGTGAACAAATTAATATTTTAAAATGTGATTTTCTACCATTTTCAAAAGTTAATATGGTATAATTCGTGAATATTCAACTCAAATTTATAGTGATGGAATAATCACCATATTATTCAATCAACTCAAATTAACGGTAAATAATAACCAATATATTGGCCGATCTGACTAACTCGTAATCCTCTACACAAACAAATAAAGTTGAATTTACAACAAGATATGAGCTTAACTAAGTAGGTTTATAAAGGGGACACTACAAAAAGATCATATTACATCATATAAATAGTATATCGGAAAATAAATGATTTTAAATTAAATCACTTAATAATATATGATACAAATTATTTGTTTTTAACATCAGTTCTATACTTCTATCACGCGATGTTATACTCCCTCCGTTTCATATTAAGTGTCGTTGTAGAGAATTTTTTGCGTTATAAAATAAATGTCATTTTCGGTTTTCAATACAAAAGTTATTGATTTTATTATGTAATTTGTTTTTCTATTGGTTAAAATATGATTATGTATATAGGTAACGGTATTTTTATATAAGAAATATGTAAAATTAATTGTTTATTTAATTCGTGTGCACAGCTGTAGAGTGATATTTATAATGAAATAGAGGGAGTATTAACTTATTAACATCATTTCAATAAATTTGATGTAAATTTATATTTACTTACATCACTTATAAAAAGATTTAAATATGAGTTTACATCAGTTATATAATTGATGTATTTTTTAGTTTTTATTAATATTACTTATATAAATAATGAAAAGTTAACATCACTTAAATAAAAGAAGACAAACTTTAATATCAGTAATACAATGATACAACATAATTTTAGTTAAAGTTAATGTGTTTTCCTTGTTTTTTTTTTGTCAACCGGATTTCACTGATTTAGCCCAATGGACAATATTACATTTAATATCAGTTGTCCAATAGAAGAGAAGCCCAATAAAATATTATGTAGCCCATTTGGAGAAATATCGGGAAGCTTTCCACACGTTAACGAGCAATCCTTCTGGAGCCACGTCACTAGACACGCGTCTCACATGCGCTGAGCGGCAAGCTTGGCCGCACCACAGATCGTCACAACCTTAGACCGCCTCTCAAGCTCTATCTCTCCACCACCATATCCCAATCGAGTAAAGAAACTTAAAACTGGGAGTTCTGATACCAAATGTAAAAGCTTTCCACCTTAGCCGTGAACAACTGAGATAAGTAACTTTCATTTACCGGATTCAAGCTCAAGAAAACTCAAACCAGGATGAAGAAGTTTTTTTTGTCGGACTGTTTTAGAAAACGCCAACGTTTTGAATCCTCTTCACACGGTTTAAAAAATCCATAAAACTCCTTTTTTTTATAGAGATGCTTCACTTTACACCTAACTCGGTCGAACTTTAGCGAAGACTAATTCTTATAAGTGATTAATAGTCACCTAATAAGAGTTTTCGAGTATAAGTTAACGTTGCCTTTTTTTGAAAAGCCGAACAACGTTTACATTTTTGTATGATTTAATTCGTTGAAACTATTTAATACTCCAGTAGGAATTTTCTTACGTCGATTTGACCAATCCCGATAAAGTAAAGTGTATAATAAGTAAAGGATGTTATTAAATGTTAGGTGAATAAGAATATGAGTCCGTGAGCATCATCACTTCGTCACCCTAAGAGCCTAAATAGAAAAATAAAATACTTCAACTTTATTTATTTATTTTTTGAACAACAAATGCTTATATTAAAATTAAGATCCCCATGGGCTAAGTCGGTTACAAATGCAGAGATACTCGATGATAAACTGATAAGTTAACATAACTGAAGCATAATAAAAGATAGAAGTGGCTAAGGAGAGAAGAAATCCGTAGAAAATCTTCACTTGTAATCCTAAAGCCTGAGTTCGAAAGAACACAAAGAAGTCAATATCGATGTTGAAGAATCAAATTAAGGGATTTTGAGACCAGTTGAGAACTGTCTCTGGAGATGAAAGGATCTCCCGACATTGCAATGAGGTGCGGATAGGCTGCCGGAGTAGAACTACACACAGAGTCGTCGACGGTATAGCTTCTGAAAAATAACAATTGATAGAGTCGGAAAATGCTAAGTCTGAGTGACGTTTCAATTGATAGAGTCGAAAAATGCTCAACGTTTACGTTCAAAGGTTGTACCGTCGACGACTCTGCGTGTAGTCCTACTCCGGCAACTTCAACTTTATTATTCGAAGTTCTTTGGGTCTATTCTTAAATACTTAGACCTTCCGATGTCGAAAAATGCTTACACCTTCATTTCCAAAAGTAATTACTCCATATTTTGCCAATTTTTGTTAACATTATATTTAAATATCTTTCCAAATGTTGACTACAAAAATCAATGTTTTGAAAACCGGACAGAAAACCATCTTGATATAACTAGTGATTGATTAATCGGACCCGGTTCAACCGATAGAATCAATTTTTTATTTTAAGAATTTAATATAGATAACCATATATTTACAATATATATATAGGCATAAAAATAGTTTTACATGTAATATATTTATGCTCTCTTTTATTAATTAGAATAATAAACATAAATTTAGTTGTATATATAAGTGAATACTATATAAACTGAAATTAATAAAAACCAAAAGACTAGTCATTTAAATTATCGTAATTATTTATTTTTACAACTAAAGTCTTAAATTTAATGAAGATAGTAAAATAATAATAGTATATTAAAGCTAAAAAGATATTTTTTACATTCTTTCTTAATTAAATAAAATTCAATAAAACTAATCGAATTATGATAGTCAAACATTAATTAGGAAATATCAAATTTAATAACTGTTGAAAATGCATAAATTATGTGTTTATTTTTTAGAAAGAGTTTTGAAAATGATCTGGATCACCTGTTTTACTAAATTTTAATAATTTTTACTGACTTTTTGCAAATCCAAATTTTAAACCGAACTAGACTCATTTTTTTTTAATGAAACACTGGTTCGTTTTCAAAACCATGGCAACAATTAAAACAAACAGTAGAAGTAATGTCGGTATAGTTTTGCTCGTGATTGTAAATAAACAATTTAGGATGTATTCTGAAAGTCAACAACAGCGAAAGAAAGTTTGAAACAGAAACTGAATGAAGATTAGTAAAATCTGTAACGAATTTCTAGCGTAATCAATTACAGAATGAGTCACTAATCATTAATTAATCACGGTGACGAGAAAAGGAAATTAGTCAACCGGTAATTAAAGTAGTATTAAAGAGAGGTTTCACTCGCTATCGCATTAAATAGACTTTGGCTCTTCCTCCTATAAATCCTCTTCACCATTGGACGATTCCTCTTGTAACAATTACTACAAGCAAATAAAATTACATTAGTATATTTTCGGAATGCATAATTCGAATAATTTTTCAAGTGTTTCAAGAAATTTTGTAAGGTTTTAGCGCTAAATCGCTACTATTTTGTTTTTACCAAACTGAGGAAAATACAATATATTCATTAAAAATGAACCCATAAACAACCATCATACTGAAACTTGAGTATAACATGACAACATTATAACAACTACAAGTAGAATACAATCTTTAGTCACAATCCTAAAATTATCTATAACACTAATTAAACACAGGAGTATAACAAACTATCAACACTAATAAAAACAACACGTATTCCATCACAATTTTCAGAGACATAATTATATGGTAAACATTTTCTCCTTCAAACAACTAATGCAAGCGGTTGTGAATTTATATCTCAATAGTAATTGCCAGAAGTACGAAAAGTAAATGCAATTAACACTTTCATTATAAGAATGAACTAAGGAAAACTCTACATAGACGTATGGTACAAATTCACCTGAAGACATACTGTATATACATGAATGCTGCTTAGAAACCGTTGTTAACTTCGATATCAATGTGATGTATTATGCTCTCAGTCTAAATACAAACTGTATACATGTTTGTAGACCCGCAAGTTTTTTTTTTTTAATGGTAGTGTTTGACTCATTTAAAACTGAAATGCGAATGGCTGAAAGGTGATCATCATCAGATAATATATACTCCGGGAAATAATAACACACATGAATATCCTGATATCCATTGCAGGTTGAAAGTTTTTAAAGAAGGAGATCGTTTAAAATTTAATTCTAGGCGTCTTTGATTTGGTTTGTTTATTATTATTTTTTTTTTACTAGTGGTCTTTCCGCGCTACACGCGGGATGTTGCTTTCCGTTGTTATTTTGTAATTATATTTTGGTGTATGCTATCGGGTAATTTTGTTATATATGTTATAGATTTGAAGTTTTGTTTTTCGCTAACTCCAAATTAGGGATAACATATGTTTTTCAAATATTAAGTTTTCGTATGCTTTCTGATTTGTCACAGTGTGTGACCGGTGGGAGTAATTTTCTTATATTGTAGTTGTGACATGTATTTATATGAACAACAGTCATTTTACGTTTTAAAGAAATCAAAACATTTATGATAAAAAATAAGAAATTTTGTATTTATTTTTCAAATTAGATGATGTTAGCCTTAACAAAAAATATCGAGTTCTTGGTTAGAATTCACTTAAAAACATTTTATACTTTTTTTCATTTCAAAACTTATTCTAAAATTAATATTGTTAATTTAAATGGTGCGAAACTGTTTTAGCAGAAAGAAAACCGATTCATAATCTTGAACAAACAAAAAATGCATGATGAAGAAAGATATGAGTCATGTAAATGAAGGATTCTTTTTGTTGGTAGTAGAAATTGGAGTGATATTAAGATATACTGAAAACTGATGCGTTATTTTATAGACCGACCCTGAAACTTTAGATATCATAGACATTTAGTAAAATTTAAATAAAAGTTTTAAAATAATTTGAAAAGTATGTTTACGTATATTACTTCTTAAAAATTTTGAGGCAAAGATCAATGTTTTACTGGGTTGTGTCTAGAATTGTCTTCAATGATGATCAAATTCATGGCTTTACATGTTATACGTTTTCCTCAATTTTGAATTTATGATAATCCTAATCATCTCTTCTTATCTCACATTTTCCAAAAAAGAAAGCACTTTCTTTTACTTCATCAACAATTTTAATTTAAATAAAAATGAAATCTTGCAATAGTGTGTAATTACTAATAAGTAAACTACTTTGTGAATAACTAATCTTGCGCCATTTTTTTCTTTTGTTATACTAAAATTATACACGAATGCTTTTTTAAAATGTACTCGACACATCATGTTAAACAATTAACTCTCTTTGTTGCTCAAACATATAAGAAACTGCGACATAAAGTTACGTTCAGCTTACTGGTATAGCCTTCCATCCTTATGTGACATCTAATGGGGAAAACTAAAGTGGACAGACTACCCTAAAGTGGCGTTCATAGCTCATAGAACCTTATGATAAGATACAAGTTCCAAACTTTAATTAACAACTCTCAATCTCACCTTTAAATCTCTGTAACTTCTTATTAAATGTAATAAGATATTAAGATGACATACAAAATGGAACTGGCGCACACTGAATAACTGAATCTGGATAAGAAATTTTTTACAAATCCATATCACTTGAAAATATGTTGAGCTTTCACTCGCGATCTACAAACATCTAGAGACCAAGTTTTGCTTTTTTTGCAATCATAATTTCCAAAGACCTTCAGCACTCTTACTAATGTTAAACAACTCCTTAACTGCAAATATTCCGAGAGAACAATTCGGTTTTGTTGAAACTTTAATGAAGTACCACGTGGAATTTTTTCCCACAAGGAGAGAAAAGAAGCCAACTTTATTATTTAAGATACTTTATGTTCTTTTTGCATGTCTTTGTAATTAAAAATAAAAAAATCATATGAAGACCTTTTTTTAAACTTCAAAATTAATGTGATAAAGATATAAAATTCAATATACTCCCTCCGTTTCACTATATTTATCATTTTAAGATTTTACTCATAGATTAAAAAATATTAAATTTTGTATATTTTCCATATAAAAATATTATTACCAATAAACCTAATCACATTTTAACAAATAGAAAAACAGAATAACATATAGATTTAATAAATTTTGTCTTGATATCATCAAACATATTTATTATGAAACAAATAATTGTCATTCTACAATGATAAATAAATTGAAATGTCATTCTACAATGATAAATAAATTGAAACGGAGGGAATAAATTTTAATGTGAAAAATATGGTAAGGATGTAAGAAAACGTATAGAGCGTGCACTAGGGAAAAAATATAATCAACACATATTAAATTTCATTTTAAGTGTAAATTCTAGTCAATAATGGCATAACGATAAATGTATGTAACTCCCTCATTAAAGTAAAATCAATTTCTTCGAGCAGTAAACAGTAATCGTGAGATATTGAATAAAAATTACAGTAATTAATTAAACTTTGAAATTATGGCTTCGAATGATAAAAACAGATCAAGCGGTGCAGATCAAACAGATCAAACGGTTCATGCAGATCAAACAGGACAAGTGCAGGTCAAGTGGGACAAGTGCAGATCAAGCGGATCATGCAGGAGAGATGCAAATCAAACAGTTTATCATAAATTATGAATGACAATATTAGTTCAAAACTAAAGATCGTATATTAAAAGAAATAAAATTATACCAAATATCAAAATAAATATTTTAAATGTTGTAGGATCAGAAATTTTTTGTTAAATTTTTCATAAGATGCTTGTATGCTTCTATTTGTGTTTTCGTTAATCAAAATTATTTTTGAAGAACAAACATCTTAATATTTAATTCTTTATTGATATTTATATATAGAATTGGAGATCAAACAGATTAAATAATTTATTATAAAATATAATTGACAAAATATATTCAAACTATATATCATATATTAAAATAAGAAAAATTACACCAAATATCAAAACAAATATTTCAGATGTTGTAGGTTCAGTCGAAATGTCTGTAAAATTTTTATTAGATGTTTGTACTTCTTCTATTTATTAATTATTTTAAAATATAAAAAATATAATTATTTTTTTGCTGACATTTATGTAGAAAAAATTATATTTTTCGTGGAAAATATTGTGTTTTTTTCGCGATTATACATCATGCTTATAATTTTAAAATGACACAAATAATATTAATGTGAACTATATAGTTTGAGTTGATAATCGTATATTAATTATAATAAATATATTTTAAAGTTAAGTGTTTGTAATTTGTAATAAAACTATTTATTAGTCAAAGGAAAAAAAACAGATCAACACCACCAAATGTTAGCGGATGAGAACTGCATGCAGATCTCCTGTTTTTTTACTAAAAGATAAAAAAAAATGAACTGCATGCAAATCTCATGTTTAAACTGCTTTTACAAACAGAAAATGGTGAATGGTAAACATATTGTAGGAGAACTGCCTATTGCATGAGAACTGCATAATCTTCCCTTGTCCTGCCCCTCCCATTCATAACCTATATAACGTCCGCATTTAAGTTCCCCCAACACTCTGTTTCAACATTTCGGCTCTTAATATTGGCTTCATCTATATAACTCTCTCTGCGTTTTTTACACATCCCATTAGCCTCTCTATCTCTAGTATGGCTGCTGATGTCAGCTCCATCGCACGGTTACTAAGCGGTCACAAAGATGATCGAACGGTGGCTAAAGAATCCTCCGGAACGAAAACTACGGCGGCACCGATGACTCGGGATCTTCTTGGAAGCGGCAGAGGAGGAGGTGATAGGTCACTGGAGCTTGACCTTGACCTTCAAGTTCCCACCGGCTGGGAGAAACGTCTCGATTTGAAGGTTCATTTTTTTATTTATCTCTTGGCTTTGTAGTTTTTTTTTTAATTATTAAAAAAAAATATTTGTATATCCGTACGTCTGAGTTCTCTCAAGAACTATATATATTTTTTGTTAAAAAAATTTTACTTGGTATGTTTTAAATAAAATTTGAACATATAACTTATGAGATGCTTATACCCTAATCTAAGAATTTTAACCATTAGATGTTGGTTTGTAATATTGTCATAACAGTCTTATGTTTGAATTGCAGAACTTGAAATCAATAAGAATCACTCTCTTATTAGCTTAAGAAACTTACTCAAAACTTAAGCAAAACAAAACCACAACTCTCTCCAATGCCACAACTCGACATAGGATATATATAAGGTTAAGTTATGTTTATCCTAATCCTATTAAGAAAACACAATATTTAGATAACTCCTAAATAATCTTGGATTAGGATGAATCCCTTTCTTTTCTCTCAAGCTTTATTCAAGCTTACACCAACAGTCTCCTCCTTAAGCTTGAACTCTTCTTTCTTCAAATCTTGAACTCCAATTAAAACACTCATCTCCTTGTGTTTTATCCTTCCCAAAGCCTTAGTGAGTATGTCTGCCTTCTGCTCACTTCCAGGAACATGTTCCACCTCGATTAACTCTCTCTCAACACATTCTCTAATATAATGGTATCTTGAGTGAATGTGCTTGCTACGTCCATGAAAGACTGGATTCTTAGAGAGTGCAATAGCTGAGCGATTGTCAATCCTTATCGCTGTTCGATTGTATACTGCACCAGTGATCTCCCCAAGAATATCTTGTAACCATATGGCCTGTCTAGCTGCTTCTGTCCCTGCCATAAATTCAGCCTCACATGACGACAATGCCACTGTGTCCTGCTTCTGAGAGCACCAAGAAATTGGTCCTGTACCGAGATAGAACACATGTCCAGTAACACTCCTCCCATCGTCTGGATCTGTGTTATACGAGCTGTCACTGTAACCAATTAGTCTTAGGGACTCCAGACAATGATCGATCATACTTCAAACCCCAAGTCATCGTCCATTGTAAGTACCTTAAGCACTGTTTTAAAGCTGTTCCATGAGGTTCTTTTGGGTTTGCCATAAATCTGCTGAGAACACCCACAGAGTAGCTTAAATCCGGCCTAGTATGCAACAGATACCTGAAGCATCCAATCACCTTTCTATAACTACGAGCATCAACGTCATTCTCCTTCTCAAACTTAGCTAGCTTAAGACCCATCTCCATTGGCGTTTGTACTGGATTGCACATCTTCATACCAGCTTCCTCTAGGATCTTGTTAGCATATCGATGTTGAGACAATGTAATACCTTCACTGTTTTGCTTAACCTCAATGCCCAAATAGTATGTAAGCAATCCCAAATCAGACATCTCAAACGTAGTTGCCATCTCAAGTTTGAATTCCTTGATCAGCTTAAGACTTGTTCCAGTAACAAACAAGTCATCAACATAAACAGCAACTATAAGTATCTCATTATTCACCTCTTTACGATAGACTGATGGTTCCTTCAGACAACGGTTGAAGTGAAAATCCAAAAGAACTGTGTTGAGCTTATGATTCCAAGCCCTCGGTGCCTGTTTGAGCCCATACAGCGCCTTCCTCAACTTATAGACTTTATGCTCACTTCCCTTGATCTCAAAACCTTCTGGTTGGCTAACATAAACTGTCTCTTTCAACTCTCCATGCAGGAATGCTGTTTTAACATCTAAATGATGTACTTCCCATCCGTTTGAAGCTGCTAGATTGATCAGCACTCTTATCGTCTCAATTCTTGCTACAGGGGCAAATACTTCCTCATAATCAATGCCATGTTGCTGCACATATCCCTTAGCGACCAGACGAGCTTTGTACTTATTAATACTCCCATCGGCGTTTCGTTTGAGTTTGAATACCCACTTGAGCCCAATTGGCTTTACTCCCTGAGGCAAGTCTACGAGTTTCCAGCAATCAAGCTTTTCAATCGAGGCTATCCTTACAAGCACAAATCCACTCCTTAAACCTTTTAGCTTCTGCAAAACTATTAGGCTCATCGTTCATGCACATCAACAGCTTTTCTCCTTCAATATCACAGAGCAACACATAATCTTCTAAGTGTTTCGGTTTATGCCGTTGCCTCTCTGATCTTCTTAGTATCTGTAGATCATCTCCATCAGACTCTTCTTCGTCACTGACTCTTTCTTATTCTTCTTCAACTTCGTTGATTCTAGACTCTATTTTCACGCCGTGTTCTGTTTCAACTTCAGCAGTATGCTCTGTTTCGATGCTTTCACTCTCTTGTATTCCATGATTTCCATAAGTTCCCAGTGTCACTTTGAACCTTCCAACTGGATTTATATCAGTAGCATCTTGCTTCCAATTCCATCCTTTCGATTCGTCGAATACGACGTCTCTACTCACCACAATATGTTTCTTCTTTGGATCAAGCAAGCGATAAGCTTTTGATCCTGGTTCTGTCCCAAGATAGATTAACAGTCGTGACCTGTCGTCAAGTTTCTTCAAGAACTTAGCTTCTATCTTGGCGTAACACACACAACCGAAAGTACGCAAGTGAGAGACATTTGGTTTCTTCCCTTTCAAGACTTCATAAGGTGTTCTGTCCTTCAATGCTCTTGTAGCTACACGATTAAGCAAGTATGTTGAGTGTCTGATTCCTTCTCCCCATAGATAGTTTGGAACATTCATATGTTTCAAACAGCTCCTTGTCATCTCAAGCAGAGTCCGGTTTCTCCTCTCAACTACTCCGTTCTGCTGTGGGCTATATGGAGCCATAAGATGTCTCTTGATACCTGAAAGATCACAGAACTCATTAAACTCTAGAGAGACAAACTCTCCTCCTCTGTCAGTTCTGAAAGTTTGAATCTTCATCTTTGTCTCTTGCTCGACCAAGTTCTTAAAAACCTTAAACTTCATGAATGCATTACTCTTCTCCTTAAGAAGTATGGTCCACATGTATCTTGAGTGATCATCTATCAGAACGAAGATGTATCTATTCCCAGCACTTGTACTTGGTGTTATAGGACCACATAAGTCACCATGTACAAGCTCAAGAAACTTTTCAGCTCGAAAGTTTGTTGTTTTGGGAAAAGATTGTCTTGCTTGCTTGCCAAGCAAACATGAACCACATACTTCCTTTTCAATGTTAATCTTTGGAACGCCAACAACAAGTGCCCTTTGAACCATTGCTCTCATTGTTTCCCAATTTATGTGCCCGAGTCGAGCATGCCATCTGCAGGAATCACTCGTAGTTGCAGTAAGAAGACTCGTCGCTTCTCTCACCCTCATCCGTACCTTGTAAAGCCTGTTCTTTGCTCTCATAGCCTTTGCTATCATCTTTCCATCACGATCGTGCATGAGTAAATAGTTATTCTTCATTCTTATGTCACAGCCGGACTCCGTTGCTTGCCCCAATGAGATGATATTGCTTCTAAGATCTGGAATAAAATACACATCTGTGATTCTCCTTGCTTCTGCATTCCTGTCAATGAACTCTATTGATCATTTTCCCTTTATATCAATACGAGAATCATCACCAAACTTGACTTTTCCAGTGCTGGATTCATCAATCTTGGCAAAGTATCTCTTATCTCCACTCATGTGGTTTCTAGCTCCGTTATCAAGATACCATATATCTTCTCCATTAGTTTCCTCATATTCACTTGGCGTTATCTTGTCCTCGTTTAGATAAACTATCTCGTGAAGCATGAGTTCCTCAGCCTGTACAGTATCATCCTTCTCTTGTTCTTGTGTCTCCTGAAGCTTCAGTAATCTGTCCGGGCAATCTGATGCATAATGACCAGCTTTGTCACATCTGTAGCAAATTACTCGAGAGGTATCCTTTTGTGCATATGTATTTGCTCTTCCTCTTCCTCGACCTCTGTTATTCCATCTTCCTCCACGACCTCTGTTTCTCGAGTCATTATTATAGCTTCTACTATCATTCTCATAACCACGGTTCGACTGTGACTCAGCATACATCAACTTTCCTTGCTCATCTGATGTTCCTGCTTCTTCTTCTTCTGCAATCCTCTCTTCATATGCCTTAAGCCGACCCACTATATCCTCAAAGGGTGTCGTTTTTAGATCAAGGACTTGCTCCAGTGAAGCCACCATATGAATGTACTTCTTCCTAGGAAGACCCTTTAAGAACTTCTTGACTAGTTTAGATTCTTCGATCTCTTCTCCATATGTGATTGCCTTTGATGAGATCTCAGATAACTTGCCAGTGAAGTCATCTATGGTCTCCGTGTCTTTCATCTTCAAACGATCAAAGTCTGCCATGAGTGTCTGCAATCGAGCTTCTTTTACTCTCTCTGCTCCAATATGCCTTGCTTTAATCGCTTCCCACACCTTCTTTGCAGTACTTAATTCTCCAACTTGCAACACCAATGTCTCTGGGATTGATTGAAACAGCAGTGCCATAGCTACATCATTCTTCTCCTCGTCTACCGCTTTCTCTTCGTCCACAGATTCGTTTTCAATCAGATCCCATGCCTTATGAACTTTGAGTAGAACTCGCATCTTCAAAGCCCACACCGTGTAGTTGGTTGAAGTCAGTATAGGACATTTGATTGAGGAAGAACCTCCCTCCTTCTTCACCGAAGTCGTTGCCACCGTTAAGTCGCTCATAATGATTCGAACTCAAGCTCTGATACCACAATATTGTCGTACAGTCTTATGTTTGAATTGCAGAACTTGAAATCAATAAGAATCGCTCTCTTATTAGCTTAAGAAACTTACTCAAAACTTAAGCAAAACAAAACCACAACTCTCTCCAATGCCACAACTGGACATAGGATATATATAAGGTTAAGTTATGTTTATACTAATCCTATTAAGAAAACACAATATTTAGATAACTCCTAAATAATCTTGGATTAGGATGAATCCCTTTCTTTTCTCTCAAGCTTTATTCAAGCTTACACCAACATGTAAAAGTGAAATGGAATAATCATAGAGATAGATTTTTCGATGGATGAATTGATTCTTGTGTTGTGGTTTGTGAACAGTCAGGGAAAGTTTATTTGCAACGATGCTCATCGTTTTTAACCAATCAAACAGTACCGACGTTTCAAGATTTGAATATTCCTCTGAGTCCATGCAACTCTCAAACGAAGCCATTGCTAAACCTCTTCGACGACACCACGCCATCTCTTTCCGACCATCCTATCTATTTATCGCCGAACCGTAGTTTCCAGAGCGTCTGCAAGCTAGACAAGGTTAAATCAGCTCTAGAGAGAGTAGAAAGAGATCCGGTTATGTTAAAGAAACGGCAATCGCCGGACGACGATCATAATAATCATAAGGTGACGACGGAGATTAATGGGTCACCGGTGGCGGCAGGATGTCCCGGATGTTTGTCTTACGTTCTGGTGACGAAGAACAACCCTAGATGTCCGAGATGCGATACCATTGTTTCTTTGCCTTCAAATTCTAAGAAGTCTAGGATTGATCTCAACATATCAATCTGAAACATGAGGTTTAAATATGGAGAATTTTTATTTTTATTTTTATTTTTATTTTTGAGGGTTTTGATGATTTGTTGTAAATGAAATATTAAAATATGGAAGAGATTTTTTATTTAGTACAAAAATATGTAATTCATGATTTAAATTGTATATTACGATTGTACTAGGTACTTGTCCGCACCTTGTGCGGGATATATGTCCAACAATATTAAATGTGCTTTTCGTATTAAAAAATTTCACCAGAATGATAAATAATATATAATATTTTTAGTGTGTTAATCTTTAATTTTAAGCGTTATAATATAGACCATATTTCACTATATCTCATATACTTTGTATTTTTTGTTTCTCTTTTCTTTTTCTTCTTTCTCTTTTTTTCCTTTTGCTCTCTTTTTTTCTATTTTCTGATTTATACTATGAAAATAAACCAGAAATTCAATTATAAAACCAAATCAGTCGTAATCCTATTCAAAAGCTTCTAAGGTTATTAGGTTTTTCTGTTAGAATATGAGTTTGAAGGTCTGTATACTAAGACTTTAGTGGGTTTTATGGTTTGGTTTGCGTCTAGGCATTCAGTTTGATTTTGGTTCAAATATTTTGGGTTCGGTTGCTTATTTCAGTTTTCGGTTCGGTTAGGGTAGCAAAGTTAGGAACCGGATAATATTAGGAAAAATTTAAGTCTAGTTTGGTTCCACTTTGGAGGATAATTTCTGATAGTTTAGAGTTTTTCAGGTTAAGTATTAGTTAATTCGAGTTGTTTGGGTAAAAAATATCAGGTTATTTGGACAATTTTAAATATTTTAGGTTTAAAATATTCAGCTAAATACTATAATCAAGATAATCTTCACATGGATAAACTGTCATCCTACAGGTACGACACGCAACAAAATACCACTTTGAAGTAGTTTCAATGGAAATAAAGTGTAACACATTTTCCCACCTATATAAACAAACAAATCAACTTCACATAAAACTAAATTCATCAATAACTTCAGTTGACATCCGTTAGTTGTAACCAAAACTATTTAGTAAATGGAACATACCTCATTCGATACATTCAATGCACCGATAGTTTTTATTGGATTCTTAATGAAAAACTCATCATATAAATCTACTCTTATAAGCGTAGATTTTGGATCAAAGTTTTCTCTAGTAATAGCCAAATCATCATTGAGCAATTTGGATTTGAAGTCGAGCACTTCTTGTAGTTGTGGATAAAAAAGAATTTCAGTGGCATTGAATACATTAGAAACAATAACAGCTCCTAAAACATCAACATAATTACAACAAAATTTAACAATATTATCAGTAATTTAGATGTTAGATTCTGTGGGAAAAAACACCTCTGAATTCTCGAACACAAACAAATCGAACAACACAGACAATACATGATGCTTCATTAGATTTAAAGAAATATGATACTTCCTTTGCATACCCAGACCACAACATACATGTTAAACGTGTATCACTAAATATTTAAAATACAAAGCAGTATAAGATTATTAAAATAAAATAATATAAAATTAAAAGCTGAATAAAACTTATGTTATGTCACAAATTGTTAATTTTAGCTTAGTTGTTGATTTTCCTTTTGCCATGAGATCTTCTAAAGGTCCAACATTCACAACTTCACCAATAATACCTATAACAAAAAACATTAGAATAAGGAACTGGTGAAAAAGAGAATATAAATAGGGACACATCAATTTAAAACACTATGATATAGAAAATTTACCGATCAAGACTTCGTTTTCATACTCACATCCTAATATTTCTTTAAAATCTTTGAAATAATTATTTGGCAACTCTTTTGGAAAATCATCACAAGGAGTGATTTTGGTTATTCTATATAAAACTTAATCTTAAAATGAAGAGGATTCGTTCTATATTCTCTTGTATAATCATTGATGGTGAAATTATTCAGAATTAAAGAGTCTCTTTGAAATAACTTAGATTTGAAGTTACTAAGAGAATAATGCTTTTGTATTCTTTTGTTTAGATTCTATTAGCTCTCGATAATTACTAAGTCAGCGGCGCATAATCAATATAATAACTAACTAAAATATTTTGATAATGTTTTTGGTCAAACATATATTTTACCGGACTATAATCAATATAATAACCAATTAAAATATTTTGATAATGCATTTGGTCAAACATGTATTTTATCGGATTATTATTAGTTAATGATTTATAATGATCAACAAAAAGTTAAAAACATGTTAGATAAGTATTATGAATAAAAATATTATGAAAAAATATGATTTAAAACTAAAAAATATGAAAATTACCTAAAATCGTGGAGGACATGACACCTCAGCAAAATTACTTCTTAAATAATAGTATAGATTGATGTTTAACTCTTTTTTTTCGCTAGCCATACACTTAATTTCATACTTTGAATAATCCAAAGTCCATGCATGGTAATGTTTTTTCAAGTTGATGGTTGCTTGGACGGTTGTTATATTCATTCATTATATTATATATATATATATATATATATATATATATATATATATATATATATATATATATATATATATATATGCTTAACTTGGATCTAAATACCTCTCTTAATTTGTTTTGTTGTCAACACCTCTCTCTTAATTATCAGAGTGGTTATGATTTTCTATAAAAAGTAATACTATAATTAAGAAAATTGATGACTACTAAATGAAACTATGTAGTGGTTTGCTTGCATGATCCCTTCAACAAACCAATAAACAGATTGAAAATAACATTCAAACTGTGTTTCGACAAATTTTTTATTATAGAAAGGCCCACTAAATTGGACAACTTTATAAAACAAAACGATGAAATTTAATGTTATATAGTATATTAGTAGTTTTCTGTTGTTAAGAATGGAATATTTAATTTGTAGTATCATAAAAGGTCATTCAAAACTATGCTGACCTAAAATAAATTGCATAAAGTACTAAAATATTAAAATCCAATATGTAAACTTTTTATTATATATATAAAAGCGTCAACGACGTCAGGAAACGTAGAAATATTACAACATCAACACTCAAGTTATCAACATATATATGTATAACTATATTTGATATGTTACAAACGATCAACATATATACATGGTAATGTTAGAAAAACATATATATGCATGGCCCTTTCAAAAGAAAAATCATAAAAAAATCATTTCATAAAACATATATACATGGACTATACGGTCGACGAGTAGATGAGTTTGATTATGGTAGAATTTATATAAACCAGAATGGGACCAGAACTAATAGTATTATTATTTTTTTGCAAAAAACTAATAGTATTTCGTACTTAGTATTTTGGCATTTAAGATTTTCTGTATCAGTAGCATTTAAAGTCATTCCTGATACGTATAATAAATGTTGTTATGTTTGTTTAACCGTAGAATACTATATGGTCAAAACTCAAAAGGAAAATATATTTTTTTACGAATTTTTATTTTTTATGAAACTTAAGAATATAAAAATTTGTACGTCAACATACTTACGTTAAGTCTATAATTTCAAAAAAAAAAAAAAATAATAATAATAAATCATTTTCTAGAAAAAAAAGGTAAAGTCACGTGAGAAAATTTGATGTGGTGTAAATTTGAATTTGGATCTTTAGGAATCTACGGAACGCTTTGGAAATATAACTAGTTAACTGATGGTTGCATGTAAGATAACAATTTAAAGTTTTTTTCTGGTGAAAAAAAAAAGGTTCTTTCTCATGGATTTTAGAGTATTATGGATCTGAAAAATAAGAAAGAAATGAAAGAAACTGAGAATTAAAAGTCGGAAAGTCATCCTAATGGAAATAAATTCAATTAATTGGGATTGTGACATCTATTTAATTGTGATATCAATGCATTTGCATGCTTACATTTATGAGTTTTGGTATTTCCTTTACGAAAACCTTTAAAACTTATGTGACAAAAAGAAAAACCTTCAAAACCCACGTGTCAGCTTATGTCATCTTTCATTACTGATTTTGGCCTTATTATTACTAGCTGCATAACCCCCGCGCAAGCGCGGGGCCGGGATCTGTGTTTTGTTCGGTTGTTGGTTTAGTGGGTTATTCTAATAATGATGAAATGAAAAGAATGTAGCAAGAGTGCAAAGTGAAAATAATGTATATATAATGTGTTAAATATTATTTATATGCGAAATAAGGTTTATAAGAATAACTAAATTATAATATAGTTTTTAGTGTATAAAAAATAGATGTCTATATTGTTTTTTTTTTATGTTGGAAATAGTTTTTATATCGGATGTCAAAACTTGATATAAATATTTATTTATAATATTTATATTTGTACTAAACGATTTATCAATTTAAAAATAACTTTAATTTAAGCTAATATTTGTTGTTTGGGTTTCAATAGATAGGTTTGGATATGTTTTTTTGTAAGTTTGGATTTTGTTCATGAATAATGTGGTTTTTTTCTTTACGGCGTCATCGACTGTGGAAATCCATCCGCCGGAGTCTGATAAAATTGAAATTATAGTAACTATTAAAAATGGAAGAGAAATTACATTGTTATTTTATAAATAACAAAACTACTTATTTTATTTTATTTCACATACATAATTTTTTGAAAATATATATTAGGAAATATGTTCTAACAGTAAAAATATATATTAGGACATGATAGTGCCGCGTGAGACTCGTTTTTTTTTCTTTTTTTTGGATATTCGTTTTTTGATCCATTTTTAATTGTTATATATTAGGACATGATAGTGCCGCGTGAGACTCGTTTTTTTTTCTTTTTTTTTGGATATTCGTTTTTTGATCCATTTTTAATTGTTATATATTAGGACATGATAGTGTCGCGTGAGACTCGTTTTTTTTTTTTTTTTTTTGGATATTCGTTTTTTGATCCATTTTTAATTGTTTTTGGGTTTGAGTTCGTCAAACTTTAGGATTTTTTCACTATTTTGGGCTTTAAACAATAAGTCCAGAGGGAAAAAAACATTAAAACTAAAAAGCCCATATGATAATAATCTAAACGAAAAAACTAA